ATGTAGCGCATTCCATCGCTGCGAATCGGTGGGTGCTGTCCTTCTCAGGCCAAGTCCATGATCTCCGGTACTCTTTTGATCCAGTAACCTTAAAATATCCGAGGGAGTTGTTTCCTCCTTAATTGCCTTTTTCCTTCTCGCAATCGCCCCATTCCCGAGAGGAATGAAATTGGCTAACTTGTCTGGGTGGTAGACGGCCAGCCTAACCAAAAGAAAGCCGAGTGACGTTGCGACCTGGGCAGTCTCACACTGTGCGCTTACTGGGACTCGTGTCTGGGCGCTGAGAAAGCGCGCGCCACGCATTCCGCAATTGCCACAACACCGTCATCCCGCCATGAAGACACGCCATACAAGTTGTCAGATCTCAGTCACAGTCCGTTCAAATGGAGGCGCAGAATGCCGCTTTCTTTGAATGTGACAAATGTGAGAAGAATTTTATTATCACCCCGCCCTTCGCGTGGCGCGATACATGAGACTCGACCATGTGTGACCTCCCCTCGGTAGTTGATCGACGATTCTTCAGCGTGACGGGGGGCTGGATAACTCTCTTCAGCAGTAAACACATTGTTGAGCCGGCAAGGTCGGGTATTCATCGGTGAAGGCTGCGGCAAATATGCTAATTACGACTGTGCCACCAGCTAGGCTCAGCAAGGCGGTCTCATCATGACTCGTACCCCCATGGCGCGGTTTCTCGATATCAAAACACCACGGCGAAAGCCGAGAGAAGTCAGAGCAGAGGCGAGTAACTACCGCACGGACTAACAAAGCGCGGGCGTTGATGACAGGGACCAAACCAATCCCTAGCATTGGTCAAAGTCCTCGCGTCGGGCGGTTAGCCTCCCATTGTTACCTGCTGTGATGCTTCTCTCCTCTGAGCCATCACATCGATCTTACTTCCGGACCATGGATGAAAGAGCGTGGCTGCCAAGACGCCTGAGTTGCGGTGAGGGTCGCTTTGCTGGTTGCCGCCGGGCGCTTCGGCTATCTAAAGAGCCGTCGGATGCTGGACCTGCATTCCTGGATCTGGGCTCGCAGCACCGGCTTACCGGCTCTCGACAGAGTAATATTGCGACAAATTTCTGTCCCGAGTTGTTGTATCCTGTCTGTGCCATCACACGTGCGACAACCAACCCTTGTGGATTGTTATCAGCCACTTCGCCGTCCCGCCCCCCACAGACATCCTCCATCTTCGATCCCAAGAGTTCAAGCATGGATGGCGGGAGAACGGCGGGGCCACTGTGGGTTGATTTCGGGAGCGCACCGCCCACATCCCTCCGCTCAAGCGAACAGATCCTGACGGTTTCGGGGCGATGATGTGCAGCATCCACGAGTCAAGTTTGTTGAGCGAAACTGGCCGAGACGCGAAATCCTCCCCTGCTCCCTGTCTACCTCGGCTTTGTTGCGCAAGGGCCAGCGCAGCGAACGCCGAGAGAGGAGGAAAAACACAGTTTGTCACTTTCTGTAATTTCCGCCATGATCTCGCACTGTGGAAATCTTGTACATACCATACGGTCTCATCGGCGGATATGACGACGACTCGGCGATTCCAGAGGCAAGCCTGCGGAAGCGGGCAAGGTGCTTTGTTCGAAGAACAAGCGAGTTTTCCTGAGGCAATGCCACGTCCTGGAAACGGGTAGCATTCTGATTTGGCTATTTTGCCCGGTTCCCGCGGCCTCGGCGCACAGCGGCGATATCGGATATTCTTCCGCCATGAGCGAGAAAGAGAAGGCGAAAGAAAGGGGAAAAAAATCAGTCATGCTCCTCACAGGACCTCGGCGAAGGGTTACGTCCTTTGAATACCCACATGGCTAGATCAGGCACAGCGGCATCGAGGCTGCATCTTGGATCTCTCGAGAATGTCCTGCTGCGCGTCAGCCGCGCGCGCATGTCGGCGTGGAACGGCAGCCGCGTCGCATGGCGTCGGATGAAAGTGGTCCCCTTTCAAGGGTCTGGTGGAGAGGTGGGCGATCCAAGAACTGAGGCTCTGGGAGGGTCCGTATCATGAACCCACTCCTGCGGGTTCTGTGTGACGTCTAAAACAAATTGGAATAATGAGGGGCGTCTTCTGGAAGCCGAAAAGCTCCACCAAACGAAGAAATGTCAATATCAAGTTCATCTGCCCCCAACCCGGGTCGGTCACGGCACTGACCAGCCTCCCCCAACGTTCTGACACGGAAACCAAAAACGAGAACTCAAAAGCCCGCCAAGGAACATCGGGCCTTTCCCGGCTGCACCTCCTAAAATAAGGGCACATTGCGCCGACAGCGACGGACCTGCCACGTTGCTCGGAACTTCCAGACTACGGCATGCAGGGCACCTGCCATTTCAAACTGCGACAAGCGGCGACCGGCACCCATCGGCTGCTGCCTCTCGTTGGACTCCTCGGACAGATGTCGGCAGAGGGAGGGGGGAAGGGGAAGAGGGGGGAAGAGCGGCAAGATACCTCCACCACAAGGAAAACTCCACCACAAGGGGGAAAGCCCTGGTCTATCCCAACCGAGCCAGCCTTCGGATTGGCGCTGCAGGGCTAATCCCGCGCCCGCCAAGCTCGCTGGCAGAACAAACATCCGCTTGGCCTCGGGGGATCGAGTTACGGGATTCGAGGGGTAAAACTGAAAAGACGAACCCCTCCCCCCCGCCCAAAAAAAAAAAAAAACTAACACTGTCCTTGGTGTGCGTTTTCGGTGACCCGGAGTTTTGGCTGAATCTGTTGGAAGGATTGGGCCGTTCGCTAACTACACTAAAACCGAGCAAAACCCGCTTGCCCCACCGAGGCAGATGTGGCGTTTACGATTGCGCGAACCAGCGGCAGAACCGGCTCGGGGGTTCAAGCTTAAAAAAAGACGTGACCCCAAACTTGAGACAAGTCGTGACTCCGTACATATCGTCCAGCTGCCTTGGGCTGTGCCGCATCAAGGATGAAAGATCAGCGCGGCTGCCGCGTTGGGAGAAAGCTCCAAGGTGTGAGTCGGTGACGAGTTGGGATAGCTGCGCAGAATACCTTACGCAGACGACAACAAACTGTGCAGTGGTCTGTCCAGGTCCTGCATCACCCCCGCCGCATGCGTTTTCCAAAATAACGGCAACTCGGCGCGATAAACTACAGAGGTATCCAGTTGCCTGCACCAGCCGCAGACCGAACTTTGCCCGACTGCCAAGGTGCCCCGAATGCTAGTATTAGGCTCTCTCAGGCACCCCGCTTCTTCAGGGCGGGCAGCGACATGCCGCACAATTCCAAAGATCACGTCAGTGCCCATCTCCGGATGAGCGGACCCATCCTCCAGACCACCTGGGAAGCGAGCGGCCCCATTCCTTGGCATGATCACGGAGTTTTTGAAACGATGCCCTGCTCATCAGTCGTGAAAGTTGGGGGTCCACGACGCAAGGCAAGGGTCTCGGCAGGACCTCACGGCAATTGTGGACCGAGATCCGGCAATCAAATCTGAATGCTGTCTCCGGCGGCCATTTTGATACAGGGACGGAACCTACCAAGGACCGGACGAAGTAGGGCATTTCTCGCAAGCCATCTCCCTTCCTGTCTCCCTTGTCTCCCTTCATCCGGCCACCGAATTCCATTAGAAACCAAATCTGAATGCCAGAGGTTGGCGGCACTTCCAATACGGGCAAGCCGCACCAAAATATTGGCCATGGCTCGAGATCGCCGCTGGGATCTGGCTGCGCCGGTTCAGGCAACGCCAAATCCCACCCTGGGCCACCAACCTCGGCTTGGCGGAGCTTGACGGAAGACAACCGATCCCTGCTGGCACACGCTGCGAATGGGTCCAAAGGGACCGCAGACTTCGAGAATTTGGCCGAAAACAACGCGACCTGAACTGTTGTCGGGGGTTGCCGGTCTAGCAATGACACTCCACAACAACTCCAACAAAGTAACAATAACATCAGTCAATGAAAGACGGCTTCTCTTGCCTGCAGCGTTGAGAGTCTCTCCCATTGCCCGATCAACCCGATACCATTCATTCATTGGTTGGGCATGCAGTCTGCTTTTCCTTCGATCTGCAAGTGGTTGCCTCATCGCGTCAGTATGACAACCAAGAAGCAAAGCTTTCTTGCTCGTCGCCTAGTTTCTTGAGAGCTAAAACCTTGGCCAGGCTTCTGGGCACGCTTGCTCGAGCTCCCGACTTGATGTTATGGACGTTTTGGTTTCCTTCCTTATCCTTTTCATTCTCGACATTTGCAATCAAGCCATGGCAAACCCTGAACCCGGGGCTTTCTGCGGTAACCTCCATGATTCACCCAGCCCTGCTGATTTTCCATTGGGACATGCACGCATTAATAAAAAGAACACTGACAACCGCGTGACTTCTCCATTACTACCTCAGGATAAGGGGGCTCTTGGCTCGCCCCTTCTCATATCATAATGACAATGGTTGAAGGCGGTCTGCCGTACTATGTACACTAACGTGGCAAGCTACCAAGGATCTCCCGTGACCCCCACCCTTAGCCAATGACATTCCCTATTTGGGACTTTTTTTGATCAAAGATTGTGTAACGCGAGATCCGGACCAGTGGTCGACGCACAGTGTCCAGACCCAATGCCATCCCGCACACCGTTGCTGCTTCCCGGATACAGCAACGAAAATGTACCGTTAACCCGCTTTAATGCCGGCTATCGGGCAGCGGAAACCACGGTTGTGTTCGGCAAACCGTCGCATTTCCAACGACAGCCGAAAACCCATAAAAAAAACGGTTTAATAATCGAAGCGCGGATTGCGCAAGTTCGGCAGCCTCCGTGTTCATTCGACACCCAAGTTCTCATTGTGTAACACCCATCGGGCCGTTTCACCGTATGTTTGGTTCCTGAGGTCCCAGCTACCGTCTGATGTGCCGAACGAGGGGCGTTATGTCAGGGTGGTCAAGTCCGAAACCGAACCATCTACGAATGATATGTGGGAGGCCGACACGCGCTCGAGTAAGGTCTGGCAAAAAAAAAAAAAAATTACCGGTGCCAATTTCAGAAACAGGCGACTAAGCTAAAACACTCACCGCCTCACACCGTCGGTCAGGAAGCTAACTATCGATTCTCTCAAACCTCGTGAGCATCGGCAGTTGCCAGTGGCACGCCCGACCCCCCGATTCCAGGGTTGCGGCCGACATCGTTGTTCCCTGTCTCTTGGTCATCCATTTCAAAGACTCGTACCTGGAATTGCTCTGTCCCTGGCCAAGACCACACAGGGGGGCATCCCTGGATCCGTTTCGCGGCCGCCCGCCTCTTTTCGGAGAGTCAAACCACGAACAACAAAACAACGAAAAGTTGGCACCATTCGCCTCCTTGTTGGTTGCAGGAGAAGGCGGAGGCGGCAGCTTCTCGGCGAGTCGGCGTTCTCCGGCGTCGGCCGTTTATTGCGCCTCCCCGAGGCTTTCGTTGCCTCCGACGGAAAAGGCGAAACTTCGGTGTCCCCTTTTCCGAGCGAGGCCTGCGAGACTTGCATGTTTTCGAATCGTGATGAACCGCTTCGAGAGGGAGACCAACTCGATCTACAATGCCCTGTGAATGTCAATTCCCGCGTCAGGCGAACAAGAGCAACCCCGCGTGCGAGGCGCGTATGAGACCCAATCGCCATCCTAGAACTCGGCTGGACGACAACACGGAGGTCTGGATGTACAAACCAAACATTCTGCAATGACGTGGCCATCTTTTAATACAGCAATGCCTCGAGTCCGTTCACTTGCTGTTCCGTGACTGGAGACCACGTTGACAAGCAGACGGTGCGATGAAGCACTTGAGCGAGCAACTGTCTTGCCTAGGCATACATAATAATTAGATGCTCTGCCGCCCTTATTCGTGTAATTGATCTCTTGGTGACGGATCATGATTTGCTTCTCGTACCCATTCGTCGTAAACGACATCATGTCACATGCCAGCGAATGCGAGCTCTGGCGTTTTGTTCTTCGAAGCTGGTCAGAATTGTCTAAACTTGAGAATAGGAGGTATGCCGGCAAACCCATTGTCAGAAGGTAAAGGTAGATTTGAGATTTATGTTATACTAGAATGCTGTGCAATGATTGCTGGCAGTAGCCAATTTTAACCTCGGGGTTCATATCACAATTGCGGAATTGTTGAAACCCAGAATAGGGGTTAACTCCAAAATAGTGGTGTTCTTAAACGCGTTGAAGGAAGCCTTACTGTTCCATCTTTAAATAATATACAGTCTCCTCCATTTACAGAAAGATAAGTATATAGCTCCCTGTAATTGAAGGTCACTAGACCGGAATAAAAGAAGTCTGATACACCCCACATGGTCCTCATAACTACCGAATTATGGGTGGATGTGTCGTCTCCTTCCCATACCATACTTAGTTAGGACAGTTGGCTGACCATATGTACATGGAGACAACACTTATCGAACCTAATCAGATAACCACTAACTCCAACAACCATACGAAAAACGCGCCGCGGCCTGTTCACCAAACGACGAGGTGGCGTGCTAGCTTCTTAAATCTCCGCATGATTCACCCACGTAGTGGTCAAGCACGTTAGGTACAGTCTGTGATGGTATCTTGTCATTGGATATCAAGGCTCAATCTCTTCTCATTGAGCATCACCACCGCCACCACCATCACACCAACAGTAACTACCTAACAGCCTCTCTCCCATAAAACCCCCCCATATCCAACCTCAACAACAACTGCTCAACACAACCACCCTCCCTCCCCATACCCGCCCCCGCCCCCGCTCCCGCCCCCGCAGCAGCAACAGCCGCCGCCGAAACCGCCATCTTCTCCCCCAGCCCTCTACAAACCGTCACAAACACCTCCACCTTTTTCCGAAACAAGCCATACAACTCCCGCGCCGTCTCCGCCTCACCCCCACCACCACTCTCCCCACGACCAGCCGCAGCCCCAGCCCCGACGAGCCGCGCAAACCGCAACACCACGCCAAACGTCTCCTCCAGCAGGCCCATGACCGGCGCCTGCCGCTTGCGCAGGAACAGCACGCCCATCATCTCGTCCAGCACACGCTCCTGCTGCGCGCGCAGCACCTCGGGCCCGGCGGTGGTGTTTTTGTCGCTGCCGCTGCCCGGCGCCATCTTCTGTTTCCTTTTGTTCTTGTTGTTGTCGTCCCCGTGGCCCGTTTTGTTCGTAGAAACCCCGTCCCTGCACTCGTCGGCTTCGACTTCAGCTTCGGTTTCGGCCTGCACGCCGTCCAGCCAGGCCTCGAAGCGCGCCCAGGGCTGCTTGATGCCGATGTCGAAGAAGTAGGCGGCGATGTGGTGGATGAAGCGCGTGGCTTCGATGCGGAAGCGGCGGGATGCGTTGCTTTCTTCTCCGCTATTCCGCCGTTGGTCGCGGGAGAGTTGGTTCGCGACGTATAGCATCCTCAGGACGCGGAGCAGCAGTTTGAATATGCGGTCGTATTTTAGGAGGATGGCCGGGGACATGATGGGACGGAGGGTAGCCGGCGGTTTGTAGGATAGCCTCAAGAAATCGAGGGCTTCGAGGCCGTGGGGGTCCATGCAGCGGTCTATTTCTTGCGGGGAGAGATCCCGGACCGTGAAACTGAGGTCGCCTGGGAGGGTTGAACTGGAGTTGTTTGCGCCCGCATTAGTATCGAGGCGAGGCGTGGGGGACTCGTAGCAGTCGGATAGGACACCCATGAGGGCGAGGCGAAGTTCGGAGCTGGCGGGCGGCCAAGTTTGGCGACTTCCAAGACGGAGACCCATCGTCCCACTGCCGAGGGCGACGCCAGCGCGGCGTTCGGCAGTAGAGAGGTCAGGGTCAAAGAGGGCGTGTGTGAGGCGACTAACAAGGAGGCCATTATCGAGGAGAAAATATTGTTTAAGGAGGTCGATGTGAACGCGGAGGTGATGGGCGCTAAAGAGCAGCTTCATACACTCGCTGTTTATGAGAACTGACTGGGTTTCGATGACTGGACCGAACGACAAAAGGGGTACCAATGTCCAATGGGGGGTGAGGCCCCTGGGGCTGTGTGATGTCTCTGGCGTTTGATATAGCCGATGGCGAAGAAGTCGAGTAAGCTCATCCCGAGGCTCGGGATTTCCAAGTGACTGGTCAAGCTGGCGTATCGAAGCAAGAATATTTTCTCGCACCTGGGTTTCGTCTTTTCCAAAATACTCGAGCTCCGCAACGTCGTACTTCCGCTTGTTGGCGCCATACGGCGCGGCTTGGGGCGTCCCCGACAGTGTCCCTTTAATGGCTCGGACCACTGCGTTTTGGTACTGGTTGACTCTCGCTTCTAGCTGTGATACGGCGTCCCAGTTGAACTCCCATTCCAACTTCGGCGGCATCGCCAGAGAAACTAAGTCCGGTCTGGCGAGTGGATGTTCCGGATGATGTTCGCGCAGAAACCGGAGGTTTTGGCCAGTCTCAAAAATAGACCTGGCCATATCCTCCGGAATAAAGGTCGGTACTCTGTCCTCGTCAAGGAAATAGTCGGCCTCTTCTAGTTCAAAACCCTGATCATCAATCCACATCTTGTCTACGATATTGACAAAGCCTTTGCTGGGCCCCGTTTTAGTCATGGCAATCCCATTTTCGGCCCTAAGACCAACCCATTCTTCAACAAACTCGATCCACGGTTGGGATAAAACACGCAGAACTTCCCTCGTAACATCTTCTATAAGGCCATCCCGGTACTCGGAAGCCTGCGCCTCCTGGAAGAGACATGACAGCATTCCCTCGTCGGACGTTTCCTGGGCCAGTTTCTTAACAAGCCCCTTGAAGTACAAGAGGATCGACCGAGCCGGCTGGACGACGGATTGTAGCTGGAGGATCGACCTCACACCGTGACTGTTGTTTTTGAGCTCAGATCGGACCGCCGTCACCAGCCGGTCAACGACACCGGCGAGAGCGACCCGGGTGGGAGTGGAGGCGATAGAGTATGCGCCCTCGGCGAACGCTTGGAGATGCCTGGCCGAGTTTCCGCAGTCGAGGCAGAGCTTGTCGACGGCTTTGACCGTTTCCAGAGACAGTCCAGAGATGCCGAGACAAGGGCTCGTCTTGACAAAAGAATTCTTCTCCGACTCCCACGAGAACAAGACAGAACTCCTCCCTAGGGCGAGGTTCGATAAACATGCGCAGTAGATTGTGGCATCCAACACATCGAGGATATCACCGGCCGCTTGATTGGATGCCAATAAAGCATCAAATGCGGCGGGCCCCGCTTCAGAGATAAATAATGTGCCCTGTTCTTGCTCCAAATTGTCGAAGCTCTCCCAAGTCCTGAATAAAGAGGGGCTGATGGCGTCGTTTTCCGGAGACAGCCAGAAGTCGTCGTCGTCCAAACAGGTGGTTGAAGACTCAGGCTCAGGCTCAGGCTCAGGCTCAGACTCAGATTCGGGGTGCCCAACACCGTATTCGCTGAGCTCGGTGTGTGATTTGGAGTTTTGGTCGGCCAATTCCTTTAGAACAGAGGGCAGCTTGAAGAAGGCATCATCATCATCTTGGGTCCTATGTAGGACATGAACCTCGCCTGTGTCGATGAGGCCCTGAGAGGAGCTTGGAAATGCCTCTCTTAGTACATTTAGCGTAAAAAGGGTGTTGTGTTTGCCAAGATTGTCGATACTGGTGGCGTTGGTGATAGTGTCGTCGAGCCAAGCCGGAGGTCGCCATAAATCGGGAATAGCGAAGAGGTTGGAGGGATCATCTTCGTCTGCCATAGTTGGGTTTCAGAGTGTGCTGTGTAGGGTGGAGTTCCATTTACATTTCCGGTTGCCGTGTTTGGAGTTCACAACCTTTTTGAGTGCTTGGTTTTAAGGCGAGGGTTATATGAGTGAATGAATGCGCAGGCGCTGGACGCGTTGTGGAGATCAATCATCAATCCGCGTAAATGGGGACCATAATGTATCAAATAACCCTAACCCTCTAACCCAAGCACATGCAGTGCCTGCCGGGAAACCACCAAGGTGCTTCCAGCTCAAGGCGCTCAACTCAAGCTTCAATGGGTGGCACCTTTCACTTCGGAGAACTGCTGCGCTACATAACTCCGCCATTCTACATTATTTCGCTCCAATATTTTGCCCTATAATAATTCAAGAGGCCGCGCCCATTCAAGCTGCACATTGTTTGTCAACATGCCGCCAAAGAAGAAGGGTGGCCGGGCGAGCACCCAAGGCGCGACGCCGGCGCGAGACGACGATGCTATGGATGTCGACACACCGGCGCAGACCCCAACAGCCCCGGCGGCACCCCAACCTCCAAAACCAGTTACCGACCCATGGACCGACGACCAGATTGCATCGTTATTCAAAGGGGTCATCAGGTGGAAGCCGGCAGGTAGGGAGCACTGCAGCTCGATCCTCCTTCAGCCGCTGACCATCCCCCAATTCAGGCATGCACAAGCACTTCCGCATACTAGCTATAAGCGAACACTTGAGAAACCACGGCTTCGACCCCGACATGTGGCCGCACACACGGATTCCAGGCATTTGGGCCAAGCTGGGCGAGTTCTACAACCTCGAGGCTATCGACGAGCGGGAAAATAACATGGACCCGCCAGACGAGGAAGGCCAACCGAGGCGATACAACGACTTCAGCCTGCCATGGGACGAGTACGGCGATGTGATACTAGAGAGGGCGCGTGCGCACCCGAGCGAGGCGCCAACCAGCCCGGCTCAGTGGGACCCGAATGCGCCTCCCGCGGATACCAAGAAGCGGAAACGGGGCGCTGCTGAATCGAATTCCAGAGCTCGCAGTAGTACTGTTGAGGATACTGAGAATGATACGCCGGCGATGAGCCCGACGAGAAAGCCGGGAAGAGGAGGGAGGGCTACGAAGCGGACGTCTAGTAGAGCGCGCAAAGTCAAGGAAGAGTCTTCGTCCGAAGCGGAGAGCGCCGAGGAAGAACAATCGGAAGAAGAGGACGAAGAGGAAGAGGAGGAAGAGACAGGCACACCGGCTTCCACCAAGGGTGGACGGGGAGGAGGAAGAGGACGTGGCGGGGGCAGAGGTAGGGGTCGTGGTAGAGGCCGCCGCGGGCGATGAACCACCACCAAAATAGGGCCCTCCTATGTTGACTTATGGATAACTAATTAGCGAAAAAGCGTAATGTTTTTGACGATGTGCGCCGCTCTTCTCCGGGTCTTAATTCAAAGGCGCCTACCCATGTTTCCAAACGAGGTACGAACTAGAGCTACCCGCAGCACCCCACCAAAACGACCCCGCAATCGCGGTGGTGCTGTTCATGACACACGCGCCTGAATTGGATCTTCCCCTAACACCATAAGGTACTTATTTGCTTGACAATCCGGAAACTTGTCAACATCGAGACCGCCCAATATGTCTCGACCTGGACCCTCCGCACCGAGGAATCTCACACTCACAGAGGAGCTTGAGAAACTCGAGCAGTCCATTACCCTTACTTTGCAAGGTTCGAACAACACGGCTGCTTGTCTGGGCTGAACCACTGACGGCCCCCAGAGATCGACCACAACTTCAGCAAAGCCCACCGCATTGTTACGACAAGTATTTTGCCCCTCGTCGAACAGTATGGCGAGCATTCGCGCTCAGTATGGGAGGCCACAAAGGTTGGTTGTTCCTTTCCGTTTCTTCGGGGATGGGTGAACTTGGCAAGCAAGCGACACTTGTTGACTTTTGCTCTTCGCAGTTTTGGAAACAATTCTTTGAAGCCTCCGCCAACGTTTCGCTGTCGGGATACGAAGACTTAGCTGGGGCCGACGAAAATAGCGCAATAACTGGCGACGAAAGTACAATTCACCATCAGACCGCCGATTACACACCACGCCGTCGTAGCACCGGTGACCACGATGTCTCCATCGCAACGGACCAGTCATCGGCCATGTACCACGGAGATGACACCCATCAGGAGGAGTCGGCTCTCGGCGGCGACGACGACGACGACTTGACGGGCAGCACCCCACGCCCACCCGCAACCAAGACCCTCTCTGCCCGCCCGCAATTTGCCATCTCCTCCCCCTATGAGATGGTGAAGCGCGAATACGATAACGAAAGGCGCACCCCCGTCGGCGGTAGCTGGACACCGGACGAACCTCCCCCCGGGGCAGAGGAAGAAGAGGACACCGAGCTGCTCTTTCAGCAGCATACCGCACGGCTCCCCAACATGTCCATGACCCCGCGCGGCTCGCCCGACGTCCGCGGCCTGGGGTACGGCGACGAAGAGGACGAAGACTTGGAGCTCCGCGGTGGCAGGGGTCACAACAAGAATAACAACAAAGACCCCCTGTTGCATCGCATGCTCGACAAGAACTACCGCATTGCGGCCACACCACACAAGGGCGGCACGGCCACGGGCGTCTCGCCGATCAAGTGGAAAGTGGACAAGC